AAGCCAGGACTGTGACGTCAGCATATCAATGTGTTCCCAGCCTCGGCACTGGTTAGGGGGTGAGTGATCAGCTTCACGCCCCGGCTGCTTTACCCCAGTGGAAGGCAGTTGTCATGTTAATGCAACGAAATGAAAGCAACTGAAAAGGAAAACTGTGCGTTCGATTGCGAAAGATTTTGAGGAGGCGTTGGGCGCGGTTGGAAGCACTTCCGCCTGGAGACGCGTGCTTATCTGCGTCGGTTCACAAATCCCCGTACAGACGGCAAAAAAGACGCTCTTCTTCCTAAATAAGTCTGAACTTAACAGCACGGATATGAAGAGTACTGTGGACGCAATAAATATAGCAAATAAATATATAAAATTACATATGTCATAAGAGTCAAATGTGGAGCGTTGTGTTTTGACATAAATTCATTGTACTTTTAATCTCTTTCTCTTTCTAATCGTTCCATAGATTTTACGAAACTGCAAATACTTCATTTCTCCTATCCGAGTTTATATTGTGGCGCCACCTAAAAGCCGAAATATCTGAGTCAGAGCGGGCGTCCACTAATAGACAACGGCTCGGTATCCACGGTTCCGCATAGTTAATTGGGTAACAAACATGTTCACGCGACAACGCATAAATAACAGAACGTTACCAAGGACCAGAACTAGTGTAGTTCCTGCGGTAACGAATACATTAGCTACCGGTGCGTCGAAAAAACGAAACGGAACCCTTGAACAAGGTGTCTTTTAGGCTGTCCGACTGACGAATATAACAGACCAAACAGACCAGAGGCGAACAGAGCACAGCTGGGAGTAGAAGAAACCAACAGAGCTAAGAACTAAGTGAGAAACAGCAAAGACACGTCAACAAGAATAGCAGTTCAATACAGAACAGCAAAGTGAAGACGATACGCGAGAGACGGCATACTAGTCAGGTTACATTGCACGGAAGACGTCATTTTTGAGTAATTGTAAACGAGTTATCCAATAAATTCGCTTCATCTAATTCGGAACCAATTCACTTGCTGTCACGGTACCAGGATAAGTGGCAATATTATTTATGTGAGCTTCATTAATTTTGATTTGCTTTAGGATTCGCGTTAAGTAAGAGAGATAAAAATTTTTGAGACGGGGAGTATCTCTCTAAGTATTAGCTTAACAGAAACTAATGTAACACCCGTGACGAATTCAACGTGAAGTCTCCTCATTTCTTACGTAACTTTCGTACTATCAACTTCCTCTGCTTTCTCCGGTATTCATTTCCAGCCTACATGTTACCGAATGATACGTCGAGGCCGACGTGTAACCTCATATCCCACGAATAAATATGCAATAGTAAACCACACGATTTATAGGGCATATTATATTTCACATATGGGCACGCGGTAGCGTAGGTGGTCGAGGCATTATGCTAAAAGTCGGAAAGTTGCGGGTTCGATTCCTGATGAAATCGTTAGTTTTTCCAGTTGACCTACTCTTTCCAGCCGCACAATGATCTTGGGGTCGACTCAGCTTCTAACACAAATAAGTACCAGGAATTTTCCTGGGGGTAAAGGGCGGCAGGAGCGTGAGCTTGACACTCTCACAGCCATCTGTGAGCCGATTTTCTTCAGAATGTGGGATCCTTCAAGTCCTGTTACAGGGACAGCTTTAACTTTACTACATTTCATATAATCATATCAAAATATTGTCAACCCTCACAGAATAGACACGATATACTGAAACAAGAAAATTCTCATGCATTCATATCATACTACGTAACTCGCATTCATGTAATGTGTTAACTACCAACTGTTCCTTATTATAGCAATCCGAAATTCAGTAATTTCACAGCATTCATCATTACTTTCTGCGGAACAGAATTTACCGGCATCCACAGGAATTCCCGTCTTGTATCTTCAAATGTTTGCACAAAATTCCCCGGTTTCGATAACATCTCACGGCTCGCCATCAACAAGAAAGGGGGAGCGGATGTATAGCTCCACGCATTTCTATCTTCAGAACTGGATGCATGTGAATGGTCAGCTTCACGTCTCGGCCGCTTTACTCTAGGGGAAGAGCCTCCGGTACCCGCTAAATAGGAGGCTGGGTGGGCCCCAGAGCCAGTTTTTATTCTGCGGAAAATAGAAATGCCACTCATTCCTACAAGGAGTCGAACCCCGATTCTTCAGTCGTCCAGTCTCTAGACTGCGTTATATCTGGAGCATAGTAATAATATGTATTAATAAGAGCCGCGAAGAGCGAAGCCCAATGTCCTGCAGTTAGTTTCATATTCGTTCGGTTTAAAATGCACTGCGAATACAGAGCGGCCCACAAGTCAGTTAACTGATTAGCAAAACGTATGTTAAATATTACAAACAAACTCCGTGGTTTCAGTCCACAAACGAACTATACCGACCGAGCGACCGCCGCTTGTCAGCTAAGTTAGTGACAACTTTAGGGGATAGATGGCGTCGCGTGGTCTGCTCAACGAATCCCCACGGCCGTTAATTTCGGTTTTCTAGACCGGAGCCGCTATTTCCTTGAAATAGCTCCTCAATTATCCTCACGAGCCTGAGTAGACCCCCTTTCAGACCAAGTACTTCTCAGAAAATCTGGTAGCGCCGGGAATCAAACCTGGACATCTGGATCTGTACCCAGGAACTCTGACCACTAGACCACAGAGGCGGTCATATTTATTCAGGTCACAACTCACAACACTGTTGCCGTTCTGCGAACTGACGGAACAGATTTAAATCTGAACTTTCCCGTTAAAAAGAGAAAATATTTTAGGTTAATCGACTTTTGGGGCAACCTGTACTTAAGGAGCGGACGGCGTAACGAGTAAATGAGACGCGTCTTCTTAATGCCGACGCCAAGGGCGCGTTAGCCCATATGTCTTATCCTTCATAATGATAAACGACATTAGGGCCTTACGCTTCTTTTAATAAAGCAGACGTAATTATCACAAACTCAAACTGTGGGAGGCAGAGCTAATTGAAGAAAATAACTACACAAGAAACTGCACGGGAAATTCAGAAGAGCAGCGGGGATCTGAAAACTGACGGTGGGTGATACGCGCCTGCTATATGAAAAATTTTGTATTAGTGCAAGAAATGTTCCTGGCGGTAAAAAGGCGGCCGGCCGACCCGTAAGGCTGACAGCCTCGACGTCTCACAAACCTACGGGCCTCCACGGGCTGGATAGCTTTGCCTGTATCATTACCGGATTCACTCTGGGAACAGTGTAACATGAGCTGTTCCGTTCGTCATAATCACCAGTGTGTCTTTACCGCTTGAAGGCAGGAATTCTGAAGTTTAAAGTTGAGTTGAGAGCTGAGTTCCTTCTGTTCTGTACGCTGATGGTTGGTGCCCTGAATGACGTGTTGCACAACTGTTCAGATAGTTTTGTTACCTGTGTGTTTAAAGCTTAGATAACAACAAACTTCATAACTGACATTATCCGCGTTTCGCTATTACAGCGATACATATTTCCCTCTCGGCACTACAGCCCCAGTGGGCCTAGTTTTCTAGACCGGAGCCGCTATTTTCACTTCGGTTTTTCTAGATCTTACACATACGGTAGGACTCCTTGGGTGGGTGAACAGCTCGTCGCAAGGCCTCTACCTGTATATAAACACAGAAAAACGCACACACACAAACTAAACATTCATGCCCTAAGTGGGATTCGAACCTACGATCCCGGTTTCCAAGCGAGCGAAGACAGTACATGCCTTAGACGGCTCAGCTACCGTGATCGGCACAGCGATATATTAGGTAGAGATAAATTTGTCCATGTACTTAGCTAATTAAGCACTACGCCATGAAGGCGTATGGGGGAATTGATATATAGATCCACATTTTCTTGACCTGAACACTAGCTGGAGATGAGTGATTAGTTTAACACCCCAGCCACTTTACTCCCGGAGAAACAGCCCCTCCGTACACATTAGATAGGAGGTTGGTTGAATCCCAGAGCCGGTCTGGACGACATGGAGAAGAAAAAATTCTTGACCCTACCGGGACTCGAATTCCGACCCCGCTATGCCGACTCCGCTATCCCGGCTACAAGGAAGGATTAGGTAAATTGAAGAAATCCATAATGCCTCAAGCAACCACGCTACCGCGTGCCCCAAAAATAGTGCGTAAGCGTGACGGGGTCAACAAGGACTGTTTGTTTATAGCAAGTTCGCCAGTCCAAACATAAACTTCCCCAGAAGTGAAACTTCTTTTAGAGAAGCGCGTTCTCTTCTGGGATGTGATATTGTGTGACAGAGCAGATGTTTTATCGAAGTTTCGGAGGAATGTCCTGTCTCCATCTTCAGGATAGCAGCAAGCAGAAATACTCTGCTCTTAGTTTCAATCTTCGGTAGTGTGCCCCTCCGAAACTACGGGCAATAAGCTATAAAGAGTCAAATCTTGATGTTAAAAGTTGCAGGAAATCACAAGTACTTACATATATTTTGTAGGAGCTTCGCAATGATGAAAACGGAGTCACCCAATTTCATATATTCACTTTTAACTCGAAACGTAGCGAGTATTTTTCAAAACGAAAGCACTTCAGACCGGCTAATTCGCTCATGACTTGGTGTCCACTTAGTTTCCTAATTAATTTATCCATGTGTAATTGAATGCTTACATTTGTAGTCCAATAAACTCCCTGGTTCTTATATTTTGTGCCTTATTTAGCGAGAGACAAAGGCTGTGAGTGTTCTCGAAACACAGAGGATAACGAACCCCATGTTAGTCCTTTAACTGTACTTCAGTGGACATCCGCATGCAAAGAGATCTTTACCATCTTTACATTAGCATTTCGAAACGATTACTGAAGCTTGGGACATTAATCGCGAAGGCTCACGGAACACAAAAACAGAGACAAAAGCCTGCAGAGGAAATTTGAATTTAAGAGCAGACGCTGAATCAACAATCACTGGAATAAAACTGGCATAAAAACATGTAACCGCCCCAAACGCATCTGACCATCGGTTATGGTTGTTTAAATAGGGTCTCCCTCTATTCATAATGGAATCATACCTCGCCAGGACACCCATTGTACGAACTTGCGGACCATGTGAACTCCTGTCCGTCTTCAGTGTACACTTCGCTTAGTCCAGCTGTAGCTTACCTGGAAACACACAAAAAAAGAGGAAGAAATAGAGATTAGCCAAGATAATTATTATCTGGTTCAGCCTTACGTGGCTACTGCGTGTAATGACGCAAGACAGGACGCTAGGGGTGAGACATTTGACATGCAGCATGCTGAACTCATTCCGTGTTGTGAATGAAATATATCGTTAAGAAACGCTTCCGAATTCTCCTTCTAAGTAACAATTGTCCTGATATCTCTTAGTAATACAATTCAAGATAACTCGCTCCTTAAGGCAAATTCAGACACGAATGGTGAGGCCCACGCTCCAGCCGCTTTCTCACTGGAAAAGTACCTTCGGTACCGTTTTGATGCGAGAGTGGTTGGGCATGAAGATGTTCCTTAACTGGAATAGAACCCTAGGCCGTAAGTATTGACAGGGCTGTATATTGCAGGGAACATTTGAGTTTCTACAGTTCATTTCTCTTCAGGGCAGAATTATGATAATATCCAACACTTGCAATGATAGGAGTCATAATGACATAATTAAGATTTCGTTGAAAATTATCTTTTTCATTAATTAATGAACTATATTGGTATTAAGCAAGGTTTGTGAAAGTATATACACCGTACATTCAACAGCCGCGTTCGGCGAAACTTTGTTAAAAACTGAATAATTCCATTCTTTGCAGCCTGACGAGTTTCAGAATAGTGGTATACAGTGGCACAATGACTTACTTAAAAATAAGCGCCACAGCTCAAGCGGTTAGTCGCTGGCTTCCCACGGCGGCGGCCCCGGTTCGATTCCGGGGTCTGGTCAAGTGGGATTTGTGGCGGACAAAGTGGCGCTGGGGCAGGTTTTATCCCAGGACTTCGGTTTCCCCTGCCAATCTTCATTCCACCAATTGCTCCACAATCACCCTCACCTATCATCGGGCTGGTACAATAGGTCAGAAGTGGCCGCAGTACAAGGGACTTAGTCCCACTCCACTAGCAATAAAGAAAATGTACTTAAAAATAAAGGAAACAGACAAAAGTGTCAATGTTACGAGTAATTTAACCTGGTCATACTCTAAAATGTATTTATATAAAATAGATCCATCACATAATCACAATAAATTAATACCGACATTTTTCCGTTTTATTTTTTATTGTTACATCTATCCCTGTAACAGGCCGTGGAGGTCCACAGAGTTGTGAGACGTCGAGGCTCCCACATTTTCTCTAAGCAATAGGCTCACAGATGGCGGTGAGGTTGTCAGCCTTACGCACCGGTCGTCCTTTACCCCCAGGAAGAATCCTGATACCCATTTCCGTCAGTGGCTGAGTCGACCATAGGAACATAATACGGCTGGAAGGATTAGGTGAATTGAAAAACCAATTACTTCATCTGGAATCGAACCCGCGCCCTTCTGGCTTGTAGCATTGTGCAGGCAACCAACTACAGTCGGTGTGATCTGATCTGATACGCTGCTCGTCACTGTCTTGAACGTTGCATTTTTCTCCCATAGGAAGAATCAGCGGAGGCGGACGTTATGCAGCGCCTTGTACGCTGCAATTTTCATCTGAGCTGGTATTTCTCAGTTTCGTTTCTACATAACTTGATTTACAAATGTGGGGGCCCCTATCAGTAACAACAGGTTTCTGTTATGATATTTCTTCCAATAACTAGAAATACAAGGTATGTTTTCGTGAATTTAAAACACTAAATATCTCATTAAAATCTGTGAAATTTATTCTCGTTTTTTGGGGGCCCTCGGGGGCAGACTGCTCCTTAGATCCGGCCATGTTTGTTTAATTCCCTCTGATGTTTGTTTCCAGTTTCAGGTTAGGTTAAGTATTTCCGCAATTTATACTGCACTTCACCACACGTGACATAAGCCGGCCGGCGCTGGGTACATACAGATGTTCCTGTCTCTGATCAGCTCCGGACAGTGAAGCACAGCTGAGTTGCCACATACATTTTAACAAGGAACACGAAGTAGTGCAGTTAGTTGAGGCATTATGCTACAAGCCGGAAGGTCGCGGATTCGATTCCTGATGAAGTAACCGGATTTTTCAATTGACCTAAAACTTCAAGCCGCACTATGCCCCTGGGGTCGACTAAGCCTTTAACAGGCATCTTCATGAGAGGTAAAGGGCGGTCGGCACGTAAGTCTGACAGGCTCACCGCCATCTGTGAGTCGATTTTCTAGAAACTGTGGGAACCTCGACGTCTCACAAACCTATGGGCTTCCAGGGCCAGTTACAGGGACAGCTTTACCTTCTAACTTTACCTTAAAATGGGTCGTTTCTAATACAGACGCTTGCAGAATTCTGAAAGTCAGTAATCCAAAGTGTTGCATATGTACCATCATGGACACTTAGGGCAGTAGATCAGAAACATCTGGAAAGTTTCGAAATGTGGTGTTGGAGAAGGATGGAGAAGATCGGTTGGACCGATTATGTGAGAAATGAAGACGTGTTAATTAGAGTCAGTGAGCAGAGGAATATCCTACACGAAATAAGAAAACGGAAGGCTAATTGTATTGGTCATGTTTTACGCAGAAACTGCCTTCTAAAAGAAGTTATTGAAGGTAAGATAGAGGGGCAGATAGAAATGACAAGAAGACGAAGAAGAAGACGTAAGAAGATGCTGGATGACCTTGGGAACAGAAGAGGATAATGTCATTTGAAGGAGAAAGCTCTGGATCGCATTAAGTGGAGGAATTGTTTTGGAACAGACTGTGAACCTGTCGTCTGACAGATTACTGATGATGATGATGTACCATCGTCAAGCCCATTGGTACTGTATTGGACCTCTGTTGAAACGTATAATGCAAGAATCTACTGTGCCCGTGAAGAGGAAGGATCTCGGGATTTTGCCGCAATTATGCCTATTCATCGCCCTGAATAATTCCGTCTGTCTGTGTGCCTCGCTAGAGCCTGAACGGTGGAGCGAATTTCATTCAGTTTCTGTATTTAAGAGTCTGTCCATTCTGGGTCTGCCCTCGGTGAATATAAATATTCCAGGCTCCAGAAAAATAAAGTTGCGATTTTCTCGAAAACAGCAGAACGGATTTGATTAAATTTCACTAATTCGTGGAGAATACTCTCGAAATAAGGCTATACAGAGCCGGTATCTTCAGGAAAATAGCTGTACGCGTACTGGGGGCCCAAACGTGAGATGCCAATTTTCTAGAATTTGGCTTCATCAGGCAACAAGTTTTCATTGTTGTTCGGTATTCAGCAATCAGTAATGATTTATTTCGTTTCCATGGTAACGCAGTGAAGATAAATTATATATGAGAGAGTATGTTTTATTTCTTTGCATCTATTTTTAGCCTATTTTATTTTGAAAAAATAAACGTAATCTTATGAGATTTCCACGCTGTGTGCCTGTATATCCTCCCTTATTAACTCCTGAATACCTGAAAAATCTTTATGAAATTTGGCACGTATATCATGGCATCTGAGCCCATTTCAACAGCGTACTTCATGAATTCCTCCCATCTGTCCTAGAGGTATTCTGGAAAACAACGAAAGTCCTCCGTCAGGACAGCCGATATCCTGACCCCCTGGATTCAAATAGACCACTTTCCAAATATGTCTGTAATGTCACTGCTACCTGCTTGCTGATATCTTGTTTGCAGGGCCATATATATATATATATATATCTTCTTCTTCTTCTTTACTGTCATTACAATCCTATGTGGGTCTTGGCCTCATCCACAGGCTTACGCTGCCACCAGCATAGCTCTCCGGTTCACTGGGGCGGGCACACCTCTCCGCGATAAGGCGGTGGTCACATGTGTGGGTGACTATACACATAGACGGGGTTTGGATTCGTGACTTGATTTATTAGCCGCTTATACGCACAACTCGGAACCACAAGTAATTAGAAAGTCACCGCTAATCTCCACACTTCACAATTCATCACAGCACCCCCTAAGCCTTTTTCCAGCCAATTTTCTTCATCAGGCATACCCTGACAACGGCTTCTAACAGTGGAGATTCTTCAGCTTTACGCGCTGAAGTTCTCTCTTCACAGACTCCCGTGCAGACCTGCCTAACAACTCAAGTCAAAGTCAAAGTCACATTCCGACTGAAAGTCAGTCAGTCAGTCAGTCTCGGTGTCGAGCCCCATCTAGGGCTCTTGACCAAATATTTATTATTGCGCCTAACAATTGATTTTGATCCTTGCTTATAAAATCTAGGCACTGAACGCGTAGAAAACATCTAAAATTAACTCTATTATTTTTGCGAGCGAATTCGTTTCAGCGGGAAGGTATCTACCTATCCGTTGCCCAGAGACGGTCGCTGTTTACAAAGTCACTGCTTAGACACGGATCTGTAGGCCACAGTTGGATAATTCAAAAGTATAATCAACAATTTAGATGTAACAGCTTTTAGTTTATTTGAGGGACGGATTTTTGGCGACTGGCCCTGTTTAAGGTTTTTAGACCTTAAATATCTAATGAATAGACACACGTCCAGAAACGTGAGGACTCATGTGGCAATCGTGGAGGGTGTTTGAGACCCCTACCGGGGGAGGGGTTTGGAAGATATCACATATGATGTGCATAAGAGACAGGAATTTATAATAAAGCATTCGCCCCTTCCATAACGTCACATGTAAGTACAAAGAAGGCCGACCGGCCGCCCAAACTGTTAAGAAAGACCAGGCACAGTGGCCAGACGCCGTGAACATTTGTGTCGGCGAGGGAGCCGAAATAGGATGCGGGGATTTTTATAATTTTTTATTATTTCATTTCTTGCAGCACAAAGCGGCAACCGATGGGCATACACAAAGAGAGAGTAACCAAAGGGTCATGGCCAGACATAAAACAGAAGGCGAGGTAAAGTGGGAGAAGGTGAGGTTTACCACAGCGCATGCGCGTTACACATTTGGGTCAACACCGAAAATTATTACTGGTTAGCAGAGACGGTTTAAACTAAGTGCAAAAATGTGTGTGGTTATGTATTAAATATTTTAAAAAATATGTAAATAAAAACCAGTAGATAATTTCATTGCACTACAGACAACAATGCTGTGATGT